AAATACTTCAGGTATCAGAGGAAACCTTCTTTAAATAAAAAAATTGAACTAGACTTTTTTCAAAACAAGTTTCAGATAAAATGTCCTTATTATCTTTCCAAAGTTCCATTCTCTGCTTCTGTAGAGTCATCTGCCCTCAGGAATCAGATATTTAAGTGATCTGCTCAAAGTCAGTTCACCTTGAGCCAGGTGTGCTAAGACTGGACTCTAGCATTCTGGCTGGTTTTTGGAGGCTTGCTATATATATATATATATTTTTTTTATTTATTTATTAGCAATTTTATTTATTGTGATAAGTGATTACATAAATTTCACAAATTTCACAGTATTGTGAGATAGTGATACTTAAATTACAAACACATTCTAAACTTCATGAGGCAAATTGTCTTTATTATGGTCTATAAAGTTTATGAGTTCTATGAGCTTTGACAGTTATTTCTTCCACATTGGGTGAGGTGATATGTACATTTCTTTTCTTTTGCTTAGTGTCAGCTTTTCCCTCTTTCCTACTCATTCCCTCCCTCCCATTGCTGTCATTGAGTTGCTTAGTTCACTTTTATCAATGACCAGTGCAGCTGATGGGTCCTGCTGTTGTATGTTTTCCCGTTTCCCTCTGTTTCTGTGTCCTCCTCCTAGTTTCCCTTTGATGTGCACATATAACATATATACCATATATGTGGTCAGCAGCGTGGGGTCATTTAGTAATGATTAGACCAGATGAATGGAGGTCCTTTGTTTCTCGAGTCTTGTTTACTTTGTCATGTATATTTATAAATGTATATATTTATATACATTTAAACAACTGAGCCCAGGGTGTGATCTGTTTTTGAGACAGTCTGGACTCAAACTTAGATTTTCTCTCAGCTCCCCAAGTATGGACTATTGGTATGTGCTACCATGTTCAGCATAGAGTATGAATGATCTTTACAGTGAGAGATTGGCCTATCTCATTAAGTCTTAGAGTTTGCTCAGTTGATTTAAGACCTTAGTGCTTCACACACATGATGATGCACATCAGTCACTGGGAATAGCATTACTTTGCAGGTTCTGATTCAGTTGTTCTCAAAAAGAGCTGCCATGTTCCTAGGGGCCACTGCTAGCCTGCAGACTACACTTAGAGAAACAAAGTCTGACTAATAGTTGGTTCTCAATGGTTGCATGTTAGAATCATTTGAGAGCTTAAAAAAATACTGGTGTATGAAATCAATCTATAATGATGGTGATTTAATTGTTCTAGGGTGGGGCTTAGTAATAATGTGTATATAGACAGATATGATTGACACGTTGATATATCAGATTTGATCTTAGCTTGCAAATAAGGTTAAGAACCATGGCTACAAGCCAGGCACACTTTCACTGTGACTCATAGGTAAACATCTTCATGTGTTGATTTTGTAGCAATCTAGGAAGCACTTTAGATAATTTTTCTGATGTTAGTATACCTGTTTAGTAGATATAGCCCATGGAGAAAGGGTTTCTTTTTATTTCTAGAGTCCCAGAGATGAGATACAGGTGACTATCAGGAGAACACAGGAAGAAAAAATATCTTTTCATAAAGAATTTAGGTATCATCCAATAGAGGAAATGATGACTGAATGAGAATTTGATCGCTTTTTATTCTTCTGGGTTTTTTTTGTTTGTTTTTTTGAATGAGAGATCAATGTGGATTCTTTCTGGATTATCGAGAAGTTCTATACATTTATTCTTTAATATTCTGCATATACTTATATAGAAAGATATTACAAAGTTCTCTGTAGCTTTTCCTTTGCCAATAATCTAGAAAAATTTAGTGTCTTTAAAAAATAACTTGAATAATTTAGCGTTGATCTTATGATTAATTATTTGATCTGCTCAAAAAACATAGGTCTGACTTCAAATGTTATTTTAATATTATTACAAAGGTGATTTTAGAAGCAGAGAAAATGTTTCATATATGTTAGAATTACATTATAACTTCTTAGAGACAATAAACTATGAAGTCAGAAGATTGAGTAAATTCTCCCCTCTATCTTCCCACTATTCAGTCTTAAAATAGGCCTTTGATTTATTTCCTTAAGATCATTTTGTCTACTTCATAGCCACTGATTTGAATCAGAGGCTCATTATTTGTTATTTATGTTAATTTCCACAGGGACCCTTCCTACCACCATCTTGCCCCTTAGAATTCTTGTGTCAGGTCCTATCTTGTGAAAATAAGTCTATGGCCTCTCCATGCCCTCCTTTTCAGAAAGAAAAGTCCAAATTACAGAGTGTCATTTAGAGCCTTTGGCCCTGGCCTTACTCCTTCTCTGTCTTCATCACTGGTCATATGTCACGTAGCACTTTGTTCATTTCTGAGCTGAAACTGAGGATTGGGCAAATGATATTGGAGAGTTGAAAGAGAAAGATGATGAGACATGGAAGAACAGGGTAGGAGTGGAGGAAGGGTAGAGGACTCCACAGAAGTACTGGGCATTCAGTCTCTGAGTTGAGTGATCACAGGTTTACAGTTTGAGCAGCTGACCTGTGACTGCAGAGGGACAGGTATGAGGGAGGTGGAACCTTGTATTCTTCCATCACCTAACTAGGACATCCTATGTGTCATATATGCTGGGACCTCCACCTGAAGTACTTTATCGATAATCTTCTTTACCTTTTAAGACCCCACATGGCACTTTTTTCTTCTCATTTTTCTCTCATAGGATTTGGTCTTCTCCCTCCACTGTCTCCACTGTTCCAATAAACAGTTACAATTAGTGCACTTACTGTTCTGCAACAAGTATCTCTCCTAGATTGTATACTCAGTCAGGTTAAAGATATGATCTTTGAAATCTCAATTTATATTAGGAAGCCTGATACATAGTAAATACATGCGAGAAATATGGAGTACACTAATAAGCAATTTATCAGTGTATTGTTGTGAATCTTCACTTGCTGGGTTAGAGCGTTCAAAATGAATTCTGTGTAGTAATAAATAACAAAAAAATTAGGTTGTTTCCATTTTTATACTGATATACTCTTAACAAGATGTCAAGTTAATAATAAGATTGTTTCAGCTATGCACGTATATGTATATATACAGATACATAGACATGTATCTGTACATATATGTATATATCCATCCATGCATGTATATGAATATATATATATATATATATATATATATATATATATATATAGTTACCCATCTACATAAAAAATGGAATGGAGCTGGGAACTGATGGCTCAGGCCTGTAATCCTAGCTACTCACTGCTCAGGGAACTGAGATCTGAGGATCACGGTTCAAAGGTGTGGCCCAAATGGTAGAGCACTAGCCTTGAGTAAAAAAGCTGAGGGGACAGGCCCTGAGTTCAAGCCTTAGGACCAGAAAAAAAAAGGAAGGTAAAATGATCAAAGACTCTTCATAATCCTTAATTATTTGTAGTAACAAACTTCATAGAGGCATGCAGAATGCACATGATTTATAATCTCTCAGATGGGCCTACCTGACTAGGAGGACACAGATGAAAGCCTGAAGAAACACACAGACCAGTAGAGAATACATTCTCAAGTTGCGTTGAATGTACAACTTAACTATAAAAGTGTCATTTGAAAGCTTTCCTTCAGTCATATGGAAGCACATGGAAATTTTAACTGATGAAACATGTCATATAGTTTAAAAAACGTGATAGCCTATTCAGGCTACTATAACAAAATGTCATAACTGGAGAGACTGTATGCAACAGAAATTTATTTCTCATACTTCTGGAGACTGACAAGGCCAAGACTGTGGCATGGACAAATTGGTCTGATAAGCACTTTCTGGTTTCTGGAATTCACAAGAAGGAACTAGTTGGCTCTTCTGGTTCTCTTCCATAAAAGGAACCAAAGGCTTCTTCTGATAACATCATGTTGGAAGTGAAGATTCTACTGTATGAGGCAGGGCACAGTGGTTCGTACTTGTAATCCCAGTTATTTGGGAGGCAGAGGTCAGGATGATTGCAGTTTGGGCCAGACTGGGCAAAAAGACAAATTGCATCTCAGCAAATAATCCTGGTGTGATGATTCATTACTCATAATTCCAGCTACACAGGAGGCCATAGATAGGAGCATTGCAGTCCAAGGCCAGCCTTAAACAAAAATATGAGACCCTATCCAAAGAATAACTGAAGCAAAACAAAACAAAACAAAAATACAAGGTATGGCTCATATAGTAAGTAGATTGTCTGCCTACCAAGCATAAAGCCTGAGTTCAAACCCCAGCTGTAAAAATAAATTTAAAAAATAATTTTACATTATTCTTTAGGAATGAGGAGACGTGTGACTTGTGTCCTGGTTGTGATGTTTTACTAAAGGTTTGTGATGTCAGACTGTCTGCCCCACATCTCTAAGCTTTCCATTCTCTGTGTATAAAATGTGAGATTTGTTCTAAATTACTACCAAGGTCATTCTGAATCATCTCTGATTCTAGAAAGTTATGAGACATAGCCTGTAACCATGGTGAGGGAAGTTGATTGGTAGCCCTAAAAATAGACTTATTTTGTCCTTCTGTGTAACAGTGATGCTTTCTCATTGAGAAAGCCACTGTGTGTATATTGCCTTAATAAACCAATTTTGTGATTTTTTTTTTTGAGATGCCAGCTGCTCACAAGTGAATAGAAGACTGTCTTAAGAAATACCCAACACATGTTTTAAATGTGGATCTGAATGATTGTGCTGTTTTTCATTCCTGTTGTAGGTATTTCAAAAAAACCCAGAAGGTGGTGATTTGGTAAATTTAGAAAGTATTTCACTTCAGGTCCTGCTGTCTTTTGTGTTTGTGTGAGAGCCTCATTCAAAATAACTTATTTATCTTCTCTTAAAATATGCTTCCCTTTATTTTTGCCTTTCTGCTGGCAACAAATCCGTATCTGCAAATATAGGTTTTTGTCAAGATCCTTGTGTCGGTAGTTATTGTTTTCCATCCAGACACCCTCACATTTTACCCATTAAGCCTTTTGATTTCATGATGTATTGTGTCATAAACTTGTCTATTGTGCAGCTATGTCCTAAACGACCCTCTGAAGTCACTCTGAGGATACAAGATGTATGGCAATGCTGTTTGGTGATTGTTCCCTACCCAGAATGTTCCATCTGAAGTGAAACATCTTGCTGTAGTTGAGACAAGCCTTGCAGCTGGTAAGCAATGTTTCCCGGTATGTGAGCATTTGCACTTGATCCAGCCCTTTGAAGTAGAGAATCATCTCATTAAACAAACATTTTAATGCCTACAGAAGTAGCAGAAATACAGTTTTCACTCTCTTTATTGTGCAATAATTGATAGCTAGAATGTCACATCACTGGGAGGTTAGATAGTTACTTACTGTCTCTGAGCTTCAGTTTTCTCCTCCATAAATTTGGATTTTCTTTCCAAAATAGTTTTATTTATGGATTTTATTTCTAAAATAAAATTTTGGCTCCAAAATACACTCATATTTCTTCTTTCCTCCATCTCTCTCTATTGCTTATTTCCTTTTTTGTCTCTTCTTTTTTTTCTCTCCTTTTTTCTCCCTCCTCCCCCCTTTAATTCCTTTCTTTCTCTAGCCTTAAATCTGTTGATATCAATCAGTGTGTCTTAAGTTTAAATTTATAATTAGTCTAATTTCTTATGGTACTTCCTTAAATTAATATGTGTACAATTGTGTGTGTGATGTTTGTTGCATTTGTGAGAGAGAGAGAAAAAAGGAAGAGACAGACAGACAGACAGACAGACACAGAGAGAGGTCAAAGATGATTTACAGGGTCAGGCCTGATAACTGAAAGGATGAGTTGCTAATCAGCTAAGATACAGAAGGCTACAAATGGAGATACCTGTGGTAGAAGAGTTAGAGGTCAGTTTGGAAATATTGTGTATAAGATGTGTTTTCTGGTAGATATCACCTGTAGATGCAGAATGTAGTAGGCAGGCCTGGCACTGGTGGCTCATGCCTGTAATCCTAGGTACTCAGGAGTCTGAGATCTGAGAATCATCATTCCAATCCAATTTGGGCTTGAGACTCTCATCTCTAATTAACCACTTAAAAACTGGAAGTGGCACTATAACTCAAATAGTAGGGTGCTAGCCTTGAGCATAGAGAGGCTTGAGGACAATGCCCAGGTTCAAGTCCCACAGCTGAAAAAAAAAAGGATGTAGTTGGCAGAAGAGTGGCCTCCAAAGATGTCCGCATCCTAGTCCCCATAACCTATCATCTTACCTGGCCCGAGGGACTTGACAAATGAGGTGAAGTTAACCTTGAGGTGGCAAAAATTTCCCCAATTACCTGAATGACCTTAGCCTATTTGCATGAATCCCTACAACTAGAGTATCTTTCCTACGGTGGTCTGAGCAGACTGTGACCATGGAAAGAATGGCCAGAGAGATGTAACATTGTGATTTTGAAGATGGAAGAAGGATTTCATGGGCCAAGGAATGTAGATATGCCTGGCAAAAAGAAGGTAGGCATGGCAAGGACATGATTTTTCTCCTAAAGCCTCAAGAATAGGATACAGTCCTCCCAGTAGCACCTTGACTTTTAGCCCAAGGAAATTTATATCTAACCTACAGAACTATAAGATAATAAATTTGTGTTATCTTAAGCCACTGAGTCTGTGGTCATTTGTTACAGCAGACGTGGGAAGGGGGAATATAGAGAGCAAACAATTGTATAAAATAATCTGGAGGTAAGGAGAGAAAGTTCTGGAATTTGAAAACATTGAGGCAGCATTTAAATGCAGGGACTAAATGAGATCACCAGTAGCATGAGTAGAAATAAGAGCCAGAAGAGAACCAGGGATAGGGCCCTTGGCACCCAACATCAAGAGGCCAGGTGGAAAGAAGGAAACATTAAAGCATTTGGGACATTATAAATCAAAGGATGGAGGGACATGAAGGGGGGAGAGATTGATTCTAGTGGCACATAAAGCTTATCAAGGGAGAGAGGGTGGTTGTATGTGAAGATATCATGAAAAGTAAGGTGATGCTAAGGAAAATAATTTGCTGCTATCAGAAAAGCAAAGTCCTTTATTTTTAAGACAGAATTAGGATATGTGTGTAAGCTAATGGGAATTATCCACTAGATAGCATAAGTTGATAAAAGACAAAGTAGAGACTTTCTTGGGAAATATCTTTGGAGATGTGTGGAGCATGAGTAGGGTCATCTGACAGGAGAGTGCATAGTTTATTATGACAGCCATTGAGAGAACTGAGGGGATAATGTGGGTAGGTGGAGTGGAAGGAGATGGGGATGAATCACTGGAAGACAAGCTACAGCCTCTCTCCTAAAGAGACACAGTCTGTTCTGGAAGTGGAAATTTCCAGGTACTTTATACCCTATCCAGGAAATAGAAGCACACATTTTATTTTTTTAATGATACTAAGGGTTGAATTCATCATATTCGAAGAACTCTTCAGCTCTCATTCAAGGACCCCTCCTCCCTTCCCCAGTCCTTTTGCTTTTAGTTTGTTTCAGATAGTATGTCATGTTAAATTTTCCTGGGACATTTTTGCCAGGATTACAGGTGTGCACCACCATTCCTGGCTTTACTTCTTCTTTTAAATAAGAGAAATTAGATATGTTTCTTTTAGAAGTTGGCGTATCAATGGTCTGATTGTGTGATTCTGAGTGACAAGTCATCCTACAATTTAGTAACTTAAAAAAATGATCATTTGTTATCTCCTACAGTTTCTTGAGTTGAGAATTTGGCATCCTCTGGATTGTGTGGCCATTCTTAAATAAGCATCCACAGTGTAGGTTCAGAGCTGGGAGCTGGGATCATCTGAAGATTGGTGCTAATCTGAGACATCCAGGTTTCTGGCCATGGCCCTCTCCATGAGTATTACTTCACAAGGATGGCTGCAGCAGTATAAAGCTGTAAGCAATGAGAGCTCCACGGGCAGTGTCTTTGTGACAGTGAGTGCTGAGGTTCACGGAGGGCTCATCATATACAGGCATCATGCAAAGGCAGTGTGGATAGTCTAGTCTTTAACCTCTGGCAGGTGTGATTTGTAAGATAGCCTGTTTTTACAATGAACTAATGGAGATTCAGGGAGATTAAAGGCTGGCATAAGTCCACAAGGGCTTCTGAATTTATTGATGAAAGGACTAACGTGTAGCAGGTGATAGAGAACATTGCACACAGAGAAGTGTAACCATAGTTCTCTACTGCTCCTCTGCCATGCATACTAGGGCAGCTTTTATACACACACACACACACACACACACACACACACACACACACACACACACACACACAGAGCTTCCTTTCCCCTCCCTACAATATCAACATATTGTTTGTTTAATTATATTTCAATGATGTCTTTCCTACTTCTTTTTTGAGCTGAAAGCATAAATCATTTTACTTCTACTTTCAGTGTGTGGATTAATCTGGAAACTGTTAGGAAAAGCCACCTAGGCTGATTTTAAGACTTTGGAGATAATAAACTATTCGTTTTTTAGAAACTTTGATATAAAAGGACCCATGTAGCTGGGTGCTGGTGACTCTTGCCTAATCCTAGCTACTCAGGAGGCTGAGATCTGAGGATCATGGTTCAAAGCCAGCTCAGGCAGGAAAGTCCATGAAATTCTTATCTCTAGTAAACTACTTAGCAAAAGCTGGAAGTGGTGCTGTGGCTCAAGTGGTAGAACGCTAGCTTTGAGCACAAAGAGGCTGAGGGACAATACCCTGGTCTTGAGTTCAAGCCCCAGGACTGGCAATACATAAATAAATAAAGTGTCATATTTATTTTTACTAGTGAATACAATTTTTTTGTAGCCAGATGTAGAAACATTATTCTCTTTGCCTAGATTCATTATTCCATTTAGGAAAGAGTTCTAGGTACTTCTGCAGATTAACAATGGATTCATTCAATAAATGTTTATTCACTAAGTTCTAGACACTGAGGGAATGACTCTATGTCAGTGAACATATAGACAGAAACTATCTGCTCTCACAGAGCTTACACCCTCAGGGGTCAATAGTAAATAAACAGCATGTGTAACAACATATAAATACTGTGGGAAGATACCTATCCTGAGGATGGATCTAACAGGAATGTTAGATCATGTCATTCTACTCAGTCATGTTCCCATGGCTTCTCCTCTACTACTAGTGGAAACCTTGAAGGTCCTATATAATCTAGTCCCTCTCTCATCCTTAGCCACACCTCCTCCTGGCTGGAAAAACCTTGGGCATCAGCCTTGTTCCTACTCATGGCATTCTCCTTTCTCGTTACATAATCTTCAGATCTCTGAAAGACTGGCTTCTGATCCCTCCTTGCAGAGCCCTATAACCCTTTTTGGTCTTTCTCAGATGCATCTTCTCTCTAGTGCCTCTTCTGATGAGCTTATCTTAAATTTCAGTCACCCTACTTACCTTACTCTCAGCACCCCTATTCTCAGGGAAGTGACAGCTTAGCCGAAGAGTAACTGGAAGCTCTGTTGGGAAGAACTTTGGGCAGAGCAGAATATTACTAGCTTCTCACCAGGAAGCAGGGCGGTGTGCTGCCTCTGGCTTTCATTTGCTGGGAAAGTTCTCTATAAAGGTTCTGCCCAGTGGAAATGCCATGGGAATCTCCCTGACTTCTGCATTAGCATTGATTCAACCTTGAGCTTACTTTGTGGGAATTCCCAGCATGGTATTTGTTTGTCCTTGTCATACTGCAGGCTTGCTTGTGTGGATTGGATGTAGTTTCTTGGTATAATAGACCCTCTTTCAGATGGCTGAGTCTGCTCCATGATTTTGGGTTGGGTATTGTTTAGGCTTTCAGTCTGCTTCTCTCCTTTAGGAAGGCCACTCTTGTTTTCTTCCTAAGATGTTTCTCTCTTTCCTCATCTTCTGTAGTTACCTCATCTGTCTTCTCAGCTTTCAGTTTCACTGGCTGTGCTGACCTTTTTATGTATTTTTTGTTTTGTTCAGAAACAGAAACTGCATCTCATACATAATTGGCTGGTATCTGCCTCTTTCCCTTGTTTTTTTGGCTGGTCGTGGGGCCTGAACTCTGGGCCTGGGCGCTGTCCCTCAGCTCTTCAGCTCAAGGCTAGTGCTCTACCACTTGAACCAAAGTGCTACTTCCAGCTTTTTCTGCTTATGTGGTGCTGAGGAATCGAACCCAGAGGCTCATGCATACAAGGCAAGCACTCTACCACTGAGCCACTTTCCCA